TAAGCATGCACTGTCTACAAAGGTGTAGACCTGTTGGGACGTTTTCCTTCAAGGCATCAAGACTGAAAACTTGGACACATCTGAGCAAGGTAATGAAAATCTTTGAACGTTTGAATCTTTTTTTTAGTAAAAGTATTGACTTCAGTGTGGGATGATGCAAAATAAATAAGATGAGGCACAATATGAGCACAGACTTGGTAAACAGAAACAACTTTGTCTGTTCTGCAAAAGTACATTTACAAGGTATAGAAAGACAATCTAATAGTGGGCTTGTGTTGGAGCTGCTAGGCCCTGTGGCTTTGCTACTACAGAACAGACGGTTCGGCTTTGTAGTTGAGTGGATGTAAGCGTTAAAAATAAACAAGACTGTCTAGTGCAGCTTGTATGGACTTTATTTACCCATACTTTATCATTTTAAAAGTTTTTAGGGTTTTATCCGTTTTCAAATTATAATATTTATTACTAGCAGGTCCAGAGGACGTGCCTTAACCTTGTTAGATTTGTTGCTAGCCTTTCCCACGTCAAACTAACTTCCAGTTTACTAGAATTTAAGGTCAAAACCTCGACCTGTGCTTTTGGCCCTTTGAAGGTCTGTATAAAAGTCCATATGCATTGGTAGCACACAAACAATTGTTCGCTCTGTAGGTCTTATAGATGCCAACAGATACCTACATGCAGCTCTTTTTTTAGGCCTGTAGGCTTTGAATAACCTCACCATGGCTGTTACACTTAGTAAAAATGACTATGTAATTGCCATGCAACCACTGGCAATGCATATTTGCTACATACTTCTTGGAAAATAGCTCATTTGGTGAAACTTTCACTCCTTCAATTTGAAAGCACTTGGAGCAGTGTCTCTGTGAGAATCAAATCTGTTTGTTGCAGACAAGAGTCAAGTAGTTTGGAGGATCTTGGATTGCATTTCTCCCATTTCACCAAAAGAAAGAGCAATCAGCTAAGCTTCAGATGGCACCCAACAGATTCAGTCTTCTTTCCTGAAGCGTGTCTATTGTGATGTTCCCAAACAGTGACGCTGTGCTGCATGAAATTTCAGCTAATTTAAATATGCCACGGATGGACAAGAATGAATCTAACTGAGGACACATGGGCAGACTTGAATTAATAATTTTTACATCTCTCTGTGTTTTGCAATCAGTTCTGTCGTCCTTCATTCATCCACAAAGAGGGTTGCGTGTGACTCATGTAGGCGCCTTGCCGTACAATTTGTGAAATTATGCAGATGAGGACACCATGTTTCTTTTGTTTACAGCTACAAGGTTAGAGTATTCACGAGCACCATTTCTCACTCCTCTTGCACTACAGCTACCCTCCACCCCCCACCTACCTCACTGGGAGTCCTGCTTCGGCATTGGAGGAACGTCCTCAGCATTATGAGAAGCCATTAATGAGTGCGTGGCGTGGCATGTTGTGATGCGCAGCATATTACAGCCATTCATCAGAGTCGGGAGACACTTGACAGGCGGACAGCCAACAGGTTGTGTAATCATATAACAGAGCCATGTCAGGCCTGCCACGGCTCCGTGTCCCATTCAGGCCTGTAATGTTGTTTTCCTCTGGGTAATTGACAATGCCAGACAGAGAGACCCAATGATGGATAACATAATGGACCGACTAGCACACAAAGATGGCGGCCAACTGGGGTGATGTCATTTCAGATTATATGAGCGTTTAGAAACATTTGAAGGAATATTAGAATTTATTAAGACTTGCTTCTTGATTTTCTTGGTTTGGGACACAACTACTATTAGGGTAATAACTTTGCAATTACTGCTCACCCCAATATTACGTAGACCTAGATAAATTATGTTTTTAACAATTGGTTTCTTGTAAATATTAATGTTATGTAAAATTCCAACAAAGTTAAGTCAGGTCCTCTGGAAGGTTTCTTTAACTTTAATTTTAACTTAACTTAAGTTAATTGCATAACAGAAATCAAACAGCTGTTTGCATAAATAACTGGTTTCTTTAAATATATCTAAGTGTTTATGACGGTAAAACCTCATTTCCATCACTCAGGTCTGGGACAAAGACTTCAACTACGGCCAAGTCAAAAATAAGGGTTGAGCCTGCATTAGGCTCAGTGGTCCTTTATTGGGCTTGAGTTGTCCAATTACTTTTTTCTACAAAAATCAAATGTACAACTTTATCCAAAATATCCTGTGCTCCTCTAAAGGATACAAAACGCAATTATTGATCTTTAAAATTACAGGAACTGAATTGAGAAGGGTTAAAAATGCACACAAGACATCTCTGCAACTACTGAGAGGACATTTGTTACACAATTTCTTTCTATATATAAATGGTAAAAGGATTGCAATTACTGTATACATATAGCACTTTTCTATCTCAAAGTGGTTTACACTACAATCTGTGCCCTCATTTACCCATTCATACAGCACTTTACAATATCTATACAAAGAATAATCAGTGCTTTATCACATTCATACACCGATGGGACACACATCGGAGGCAATGAGGGTTCAGTGTCTTGCTCAAGTTTATTTCGGCCTTTGACTGCTGGTGGAATCGAACCCCCAAATCTTGCACTGGAGGACGACTGCTCTAACCATTCAGCCACAGCCGCACAAGATTACGGTGACTTGTGAAGAAACTGAAAATTACCATGAATATTCCGAGATATTTCGGAGACTCCCTTGCAAATCCATTTACAAGTCCCAGCCCAGTGAGACCAACGCTCACTGTACTCAATCCTTCAAGACTGAAAGATATAAGTGTCTCACGGAACAAACGAAAGCTTTGGTGGTCAGTTCTGAGGCAGGATGAAATGAAAATAAAGTTGCTTGAACACAGAAATGTCAAAGAAAAAAAGAGCACCATCCTCACAGTCAAGCAGAGTGACAGAAGTGTAAATGCACTGAGCAGCTTCATCAAAATTCAAGTAAACAACATCAGGAGAAAAAACACACCATTATGATTCAGGAGAAAAATGATCAGACTGTCTGCACTGCAGTTCAGCCTTGGACAGTGGTAGACTTGCATTTCTAATTGCTGAGTACTGCCATTGTTTGTCTTTTAATCACTGCTGTAGTCATAGCTCAAATAAAACATTCTGAATGTAAAGTGTACTGAAAACAACAGTTCAGTCACAACTATGTAAAGTAGGCAATAAATATTTTAAAGAAAACCACTTACATTTAATACTTTAAAGTAAAACAATAATTATCTCAGCAGGTGAAAAAGTTAATGTAACTGTGAATCGCTGCGTACCGAGAAGACAGGCTGACACAGAGGAACGTATAGATTCTAAGTAGACAACTTTTAGCTGCATCAAAGAAAGAAGGGCGACCCTGAGGCACAGTTAGTTAGGAAAAGCAAGTATCCTCACACAACCTGTTTTTTTTTTCAGTCCCTATGCTGAAAAAGAAAAGACAATGTTCGTTCTTATCCTCCCACTCTCACCGCTTCATACCTCAGGTTGTTTGTGAGAAGCTTCTCGCAGCACACAACCCAAAAAAGGCCAGCTTGTAAAAGTAAAAAATGGGCTGCTAGATAAAAACCAGAATGAACATCACCAGCAGGGATAAAAATACACATTCCTGTCTTTTGAACATCCTCACCGTCTCCTAAACTGGATCTAAAACACCTTAGAGAGTATTATTTTTGATCAAACTCACATAATAAAACTGTATCTTTAAACTATGCTGCTTTTTCGTTGTATTGCAACAACTGTATAGACCGGTTCCTAAGTCACTTCAAGCAAAAAAGCAGAAGCAATGAAAAGTTCCAAGTCAACTGTGGCGACATTATGTATTACCATTAAAAATGCATCAACTTTAAGCAAGAGGGGAACATCATTTCAATAAGAACAGCAAAAGTATGAAAAATGTTTGCATTGAAAGACTTTCTAAACAAATTAACCCCAACGAGATCAACGTTAATCAACCTGCCTGGTTGTCCAGATTAATTTTACCTGTTTGATCCACTGTTGGTGCTCAGCATTTATGTTGTGAGGAAAAAAAATGGATTTGAGTCAATGGACGAGAAAATATGAACAGAGAACCACAACAGCAGAGGAAAAACCAAAGACACTTCCTTTACCTTTTTGTGTGTGCACTCATGTGGTCCCATATTCTGCAGCTCTTTTTCTTTCTGTTCTTTCACTCCACTGATAGTTGGCACATGTTAAACCTGTCACTTTCTGTGCTATGAAGTCTATGCTCTTATCTTTTTTAGCTGATCCATGCAAGTCGCATATGTTTATAACAAAGTTTATGCCTGTGTGTTTTAGTATGAGATCATCTTAAATGGTTGTAGGGGGTAAATGCTCCTCAATTTGTGCTACTGAATAATTAAGAATTACCTTGCATTTTATTTATAGCCATAAAGTCATGTTTTTCATTCCCTAGAGGTACAGAGTATGCGAAAAAGGCAAATAATGGAGGTGAAGTTCAAACTAAGTAGCAATGGTTCCAACACAAGGGCCGACTTTTCTGATTTTGCCCAATTAAAACTTCAAATACGAAATAAAATAAAGTTGTAATAAGCAATAAAAGAAACAGATATCATTCAGATAAGTCAAATTGGACATAAAATATCTAATTTTATAGAAGTAAAGACTAAATATAGCCTGTAAATAAGATTTTAGTAGAGATTCATATCACAAATCTACATTTGTCAGTAACACAAAGTACCTCTTTGCTATACATTAAGAAAGAAGTGGCTCCTGAATTATGTCATCATGTTTCAGTTGATTTTTCCGAGTATTGACACTGGCTTCTCAGTAGGTTCTGGCTGAATTGCTTCGACAGAGCCATACAGGATCCAGCACAGCTTCATATAAACAGCAGCTGCACACTACTCAGTTCTCAGTTCTTTCCAGGCCACCAGTCCAGAATGGTCCAATCAAAACCAGACCCATTACTCCCTCACTTTGCCTTTGCATGCCAAGTTTAATCCAACTTAGGGGGGGAAAATGTGCACAGTAAACAAGCTCTGAGTTTTGAAAAGGGGAGTTTTACCTGTGTCTTCAGTGGTTCTGCTGCTACCACCTCCCCTGCCCCGCCCTTCATTTATTTCTCACGCACGATCCTCCGCTGACCTCTCCTTAAGAGGAGATCTAAGGGAAAAGAAGACAGAAAGAAAAGGCTTTTAAATTTTATTTTAATGGAATGCCAGGGAGAACCTGGTTCAGACAGAGGACAAATGTATCACAGAGAAATACATGCCCATGTTGAAAAATGTATGGAGGGAAACCATGGGGGACTCTGCTATACTGCCCCATTTACTCTACCTCCTAACCCTGCAGGAGAGCCAATGAACCATTGAACAACCGCACCACCAATCACCTCTAGTCTCCATGTGTATATACTGCAGCAAACCTGTGAGAACAGCAACACCCGCCCCCCGCTGCGCAGGAACAATGTCCTTCCTAAAGGTTATCAGCAGCCTGGTGCTTGGTCAGCCCTCATCCTGAGTCCATTACACACACACAGAGCGGAGAGATTCACCGCCTTAATACACCCCTCTTAGTCTCTTCTCGCTGCTTCACTGCCTCCTTTAACAGGCTGGTACAAACCCAGCGCAGACCAAGAACACAAGCCAGCACACACACATTTCTTATGTTTTGTACACATTCTAATTTGTTCTATGATTAAAAACAAACTTTTGGTCTTTTTAATCACACTGTGTCTTTAGGATTCTGTCAGTTTGGTCAAATTTAACAGCTAATGCTTGCAAATGCCAAATTTTAGGAACTGCAAACCTCTGATTACAGACAGCCACCGTATTATCTATTGTTATTTTAACAGCAACAATAAAATTAAAAAAGTGGAATTTGCTGGACTGAAACCTACATTTACGTTATCTAAAGTAAACATGATGTCACTCTGATTATGTTATAAAGTTTTTAGGAAGCAAAAGTAACAGGTCCCTCAGGAAAGCACACCATTCACATACCTCTTTGTTTCTCTACTAACAATGTCTCATATTAATGAAGTGAACATGCTTCCTTCCATCCAAGGTGCAGTAAATCTTCTAAACCTGGTCTGCTGATGTTTCAAAGGCAATACAGACCCCGCTAAAATAAATTAAAAAAGGGCGAAGGAGGTATTAAGAAGTGGGGGACCTTCCATTTGACATAACACCTGCTTGCTCATTTAATCCACGAGAAGAATGGACACACTGAAGAACATAATGAGGGAAGAGGGGGTTGACTTTGGACAGAGGCCAAAAAGAAGAGGACAAGGCGGGAGGAGGAGAAAACCATAAATACACAGACGAGCAGGTGTTGCACACAAAAGTGATTTGCAAGATCTATGTCCAGTACAGCGCTGACAGGTAAGCCTATTACACCAATATTACCCTGCAATAACACACACCAATGAACCTTTTTAAAAGCAATTGTGTACTCAGCGTGTGGGGATTTGCTTAAGAGACCGAATCATATTGGAAAAACAGCCACACTTTACGTTCTTCCCTGTGATAGTTTTCTTTTGTTTTAAGTCATTCCCGCTGGTTGTTTCAATGTGATGTCGTTTAGGACCAATGAAAGAAATCCAGTTTTATCACAGCTGAGTTTAGATTGAACTCTATGTAAAAGCAGAGCTGGGTGTTTTTCTGTGAAATTACATTTAAGCTTCGTATTTTAAAAAGAGGACTAAAATCTCTGACAGCAGTGCAGCTTGAATATTGGAGACTGCCGCGGAGCAATCAAACAGGAATGCAAACATTTATGAGAAGCTAAATGCACTAGAACATCAAGATGTGCAATCGAATTTCACTTGTAATACCGCATGAGAGACTAGACTAGAGGAAAATTGCTACCACTTGAGCAGCGCACTACAGATGGTGTTGAGAGCAACACGGCACAAAGCAATGTGTTCCTTAATAATGTGAATATTGCAGTCAAAAGCGGAGAGCGTCGTGGTAACTTTTGCATACGCCAGCTACCCCTCCGCCTTCCTGTCAGGAGAGCAAACGCTTTCATCCTGGATATAAGAGGCTGCAGTAAAAATCCTCAAAAAGCCTAATCGTGTTAAACAAGGTTTGTGTCTGTATCCATGACTTTTGAGCCTGTGTGCAGGATGTCGGAGGTTGTAGGAGACGGTGTAAGGCTAAAACTTCCTGTCACCTTTGAAACTCCTGAGCCAAGAGATTTTTTTAAGCCATCATTAGTATCACTCTCTTAACTCTTCAATCCAGGTAATCTCATCTGACGATTGATTGAGACAAACCAATTTTTTGTGCAAAGCCTCTAAAGAGGCAAAGCTTGAGTTTGCCTGCTAACAGCTCTTGATGCCATGATGTGTACTTTGGCTTCCTGGTGAAGAATTGTAGTGTCAAGAAGCTACTCATTGACAAACTCAATAATGTGCGTACATGTAGACGTATACAGTGCACACATACACTTTTTCATGCAAAGCTGAGGGAAGCAGTAGGGCAATAAAGCCAGCCTCATCTCCTTAAAACATGCGAGACTATCCCTGGGTGTCTTAACACAACTCATCAACCATTAAACCAAAGCGAGTGGCCAAGCAGTAAAAATCAATGCCCCCAGCACAGCAAACAGCAGTCAACAATGCCAAGTGGAAGAGGAAAGAGCGAGACTTTGCAACACAGTTGGAGAGCTAAGAAACAAATAGAAGGAAGGAGGAACGGACAAAGTCCATATTAAGATGAAAAAAGCAGCAGGCAAACATACTGCATGAAACTGATTACCTTTATGCAAATAAAATAAGTTTGGAAACCAGAGAATGCAGTTTTTTTTAGCAGCAACAGGGTCTTTGAAATCAATTAAAGCTGAGAGAAGCAATTTTCCTCGTGCAAAGATAAAACACTTTGCTATGAGCTGTCCAATACTTATCAAGTGGAAACTAGCAAAGGGATACTATTTTCCCAAAACAAAAACAGGTTAAGTGTGTGAGTGATACTTTTCCTTCATCCATTGCTGCCCATAATAAATAACTTCCTCTTGTTTAAATGCTAGTGAAGAGGCCAGAGATGTATAGCCTTCAAAAAGCCCTTTAAATATATGTAAAAAATGTTGACATGTTGTGAGAGCAGGCATAAACTGTTCAATGTTTGAAATGTACTGGATGAAGTTTCACTTTGGCTCCCTGGACAGACCCAAAAGCAGGCCCGGGACCCGCACGTATGCACTGACGCAAGCCAGTCCTCAATCTGTGAGCCTGATCTCATCAAAACAATATTTGAGTATTTGGCCAGCAGTCTCTGTTCCTGGTTGAAAAGAGAAGGGGGGGAAAGGGAAAGAAAAACAGACAAAGAACAGAGCACAAAGAAATGTTGAAGCAGGCAGCAGCCCACACAAGACAGCGGAGAGAAGAGGGCAGCTAGGCGTCAACATCAACACCGGCTCTGCAGTCATCGCTCAGCAGGTAATTATGATAACAACGCGTTCCCTAGGCAGCCTCTCTCTGATTTAGTTTCCAAGCACTCACCCTTCCTAAAATCTCCCCTCGATAACATCTGATATGATTACAAAGTCAAGATCCTTTTCAAGGAGCGCCCACTTACGTGCCTCTAATTCAGTGTACACTAACCTTTCCTCTTGTGACTTATTCTGTGATGCTTCTCATCTTGTTTTGTATGCTTAGTTAAGATGTTGTATCTTTCAGATTGTCATATCGTTTTGGAAAATACCATGACATCAATGAACTTTACCTATGAACAACATCTGTTGCTGAGCGCTCTGCCGCCTGCTATTACCTACGATTGTAAACACAGCCTTGCCACATGGGGAAATACATCATTTCATTGTGTCTTGTAACATCCAGTTTTAACAGTGGGAGTTGGGCTTTGAATGAAGTCAGCGGCGTTGACCCTGTGATTACCTCTGCGGTGTGACATTTTCCTCTGCTGTCATCACAGGCGACCCCTTAAACGGCCAAAGCTGCTCTGTAACAGGGCTAGGCTGTTGACATACTGAAGACATTTAAGATAATCCCAGAGATGTCTCTGTGTTTTCCAAGATTACATCTTCAAAGGGGAAATGCACCCGGCAGCCTCCACTTGAAAGGGAGAGAGATGCAATGGGCTCTTGCTCTGAAGGAGGGAGGGGGGGTGGAATGGCTCAAGAATGCAATCACGATTTTGGATTGGAATAAGGCCTGTCCTGGCTAGCTAAACTGTCAGGAGGGTGAGAGAATAGGAGGGTGTGGGTGGTGGAGAGGCAGAATCCAACCTGAGAGAGAAAGCACACCTGCTAAATGGGACAAAGCTAAGAGGAGTCTCACCTGAGTGACCTGACTGACAGGATGTAAATAAACAAGACGATCTGTGACCGGAGTCTGCTTTTTACAATGTTTGATGTGCCGCAGTATTCATGTTAAACACTAAACCAAAATGGTTTGCCTCAATGGTTTTTGTCGAAGGGATAATCTGGTCAATTTTGAAGTGACGTTTTGCCAAATAGTTATCAATAGTTATCTTATTGGCCATGACATTAATCGCAGAGCAGAGCATATAGAAAAACGGCAGTAGTTTTTAACCAGGCTAGGCTAATACCTAGCCAAACAAGCAACTGTTTTATAATGTTTTCAGTGATGCCATGGCTGATAAGGTACTAACAACAACAATTTGACAGAAAATCTCATCAAAACATGATCAGGCTGTCCATTTATGAGAAAATACTTGAAAAACTTTGGGTTATTTTCATCTGCAAGCTTTTAAACACAATAAAATATACAATATTACAATAAGCCTAGAAGTGCTTGTTCTGTTATCGTAATGCTACAAGTAATTTTAGAGCGTATTAGGACCTTGGTTAGACTTTTACTTGATTATTTTGATATCATAAAACACCTGTTTTAATTGCCCCTGCATTTTTGAATAAATGGATTGAACGGCATACTGATAAATATCAGCTCATGCAGAAAGATTCAAAACATTATTAAAATCACCATGTGGATGTGGATATTTTTGTTAAAAATGTAGGTTTTGCAGAATGTAATCTATTGCATTGATGTTTGGGGGAAAGCGTGTAAAACACTTACAAAACCTATTTTTATTTTACAGAAAAGAGCTGTAAGAATTATCACCAGAAAGCATTACTGTCACCCATCAAGCACATTATTTTATCAACTGAAGTTACTGAAGTTC